CTCATTAACCCAGTGGTCTTTCAGTAGTTATTATTCAGTAGTTATTATTATTTTTAATTATTTCATTTTGGGGGCTCATTGGTGGTGCAAGGGGTTAAGTACAGCACTAGGAAGCTTTTCACAGCCACTGCTGCATGAGTTCAATCAACAACCAGAGTACTACCCACATGGCATAGCAGACCACTTCTGTCTTGCTAGCTGCTCTCTTCAGCAGTGTATTTCAGTCATCTACCTGTTCTGCTCCCCATTCTGTCTCTGAAGATTCCTCTCACACCCCATACATCTGGTCTGTATATCCCAGTTCCTATATGTATACATAAATAATTTTTTTTTCTTTTTTTTTTTTTCATAAATAATTTTTTAAATAAATAAATAATCCGTTTCATTTACTTTTCTAATTTGATTTGTAATTCAGTAATCCTAGGGTCAGAGAAAATACTTTGTATGTTTTCAATTTTCATGAATTTGTTGATGCTTGTCTTGTAACCTTGTATATAGTCAATCTTGGAGAATGATCCATGCACATTTGAGAAGACTATGTATTCCATTTTGGCAAGTGCAGTGCTCTATAAGTGTCTGTTAAGACCATGTGATCTAGATCTTTGATTAAGGTAGTTGTGCCCTTTTTTTTTTTTTTTTTTTTCTGTCTGGATCTGTTTGTCCATTTGTGAGAATAGAGTATATTGAAATCTGTACAATATATGTATTTTCTCCGTTCTGTTTGAAATTCAATGTTAGATCTCTGATGTATGTTATTGCTCCTTCATTTTGGAGTATATATTGATGAGTGTTATGTCTCTTATTTTATTTTCCCTTGATCATTATTGTCCATCCATATATCTTGTAAATTAATTTTTTTTTTATTTATGCATACAGAACTTTGGTACAGGCCAGAGGTGCTTGGGTGGTTAGAGGATTCACCAGAGACAGAACGGGGAGCAGACAAGCAGACTAATGAAGTACACTGCTAACAGGAGCAGTGTGTGGGTCAGGAGAGGAGAGGTCTGCCATGCATGTGGGTCACCTCCCTGGTTGGGGATCAAACTCCTGTTGCAGCCACTGCAGATAGCTTCATAGTGTGTGTTGCACTTTAACCTGTTGCACCACCAATGGGACCATATCTTATTATATATTTTATTTTTTATTTATTTATTCATACAGAACTGGGGTACAGGCCAGAGGCTCAGGGACGGTGAGAGGCTTCACCAGAGACAGAGTGGGGAGCAGAACAGGCAGATTGATGAAGTACACTGCTGAGGGGAGCAGCGGGCGGGTCAGGAGAGGTCTGCCACGCCATGTGGTCTCCTCCGGGGCAGGCGGCAGGCGGGAATCGGACTCATGCGGAAGCGGCTTCAGATTCTCAGTGCTGTGCTTTAACCCGCTGCGCCACCAGGGAGGGCCATATCTTATTATATTTTTAAGTTATTTTTAAAATTATATTTTGTTTGATGTATAAATGACTGTTCCTACCTTCCTCTGGATGTCAAATGTTTGCAAAATTGTTTTCCATCCAGTTACTTTCAGTTTATTTTTCCTTTATAATTATATTTGGTTTTTAGAAGCAGAAAAAGGCTGGATTCTATTTCCTTTTCCAATTAAATACTGTGTATCTACTGGTGTGTTCATTCAATCCACTAAAGTTTAGAGTGATTATTGATATATAAATCTACATCACTGTAATTTTCTTCTTAGCTATGTAGTTCTATTTAATTCTTTATATTCATTTCTATCTCTGGTTTGGATCCTAAATTAATATTTCCTGGATGAATGGCCCTCCCTGGTGGCACCGAGGGTTAAAGCACAGCACTAAGAAGCTAAAGTCATTTCAGCATGAGTTCGATCCCCACACAGAGGTGATCCACATGGTGCAGTAGACACCTCCTGACCCACCCACTGCTCCCATCAGCAGTGCACTTCATTGATCTGTCTGTTCTGCTCCCCACTCTATATCTGGTGAATCCTCTCACCACCCCTGGACCTCTGGCCTGTACTCCAATTCTGTATGCATAAATTGAAAGGAAAAAGGACGGAGAGGAGGGATGGATGCCATGAGTCTGTTGCCAAGTTCTGTGACCGGCCGCAAGAAAGGAAGGTTTGAGGCAGAAAGGCTGGGCAGAGTTTATTGCTCCAGGACATCAGCTGAGATGGAGCCCCTAGAGTGGGGTCCGCAGCCACTGCCCTCTCAGTAAGGGGGCTCCGGGACAGCAGCTGAGATGGAGTCCCTAGAGTGGGGTCTGCAGCCACTGCCCACCCAATAAGGGGGAAGGGTCTCTTATATAGATTCTAAACTCAGACTCCAAAGGGGTGACTCATCGCTGTGTCCTTGATGTGAGGCCCAGTCCGTTATCACCTTCAGCTAGTCCTGTCCGGGATATAAGGTCAGTTTATTACCACCTTATCATTCCTTGGATGCAAGGCCTTTACCGCCCTAATTCAGTCCTTGTGAGTAAATCTTTAGTCACTCCCAACATACATAAATAGAACTTTAAAAACAAATATATATATTTCCTGGATGGATGTTTTAGTGGATACATAACCCCTAAGAATTTCTTTGTCTTAGAAGGTTCTTGTTTCTCTCTCTTATAGGAAAGAGAGTCTTGCAGTTAGTGTAATGTTAACTGGCAGATTTTTCCTATAGTGTTTTGTATACTTCATTCCATTCTATTCTTGCACTTGATATTTCTTTGAAGAAATTTAAAGTTAATCTAATGGGTGTTCCTTTATAGGATATCTGTTTCTACTATCACATCAGCTTCATTATTTTTTGTCTTGGAGTCTTGAGAGTTTCACTATTATTTGTCTTTTTATAGGTTTTCTTTCACCTAGTTAGCTGATTTTTTGTTTTATTTGTTGTGTTTAGATGTGCATTTCTAGGTTCGTGGGAAGTTCTTATCCATTACTTCTCTACAAAAGTTCTCAGTTCCCGTCTCTCTCTGTTCTCCTGGGGTTCCTATGTTTCTTATATTTTCTTTCTCATGGTAAAGTTCCCTAATACAATGTAATGCCCTATGTAGCTGAAATTGAGTTTGCATCTGCTCCCAAGGCACAGGTGATTGAGCAGTGAATGGGATGTACTTGCCAGATGTGGCAGAGGCTTGTGTTGACAAACTAAATTTGCAAGGTATACGGGCTTGCAGCTGTTCCTGAGGAATAGTGGCTAGTCTGGAATCAGAAATGGGGAACCCTAAGCAGAGCAAGACACTTCAAGGAAAATAACTCAATCAATACTCTAATTTTAAAGAAAACCTGTATTCCTATGTTTAGGGTAGCATTATTTACAATAGGCCAGATATGTAAATAGCCTAAATGCCCCAAAAGGTTGAGCCTTTTGTCATGGACACTTACTGTGGGATTCTGAGTATCCCTACTATAACACAAAGTACTGCAAGGCCTAGCCTTATGTCCACATTGCCTAACATGGCATAAATACATAATTTTTAATTGCTTAAGTATTCCATTGTGTATACATACTACATATCCATCCACTCATCTGTACTGGGGCATTTAGGTTGTTTCCATACCTTCGCTATTATAAATAATGCTACTCTAAACATAGGAATACAGGTTTCCTTTAAAGTAGCTATTTTCCTTACTGTTTTGTTTCAGATAGTTTTATTATCTTTTCCAGGTAATGTTTTCTTAAGAGATTTCCACTCAACTGTTGATTAAAAAACAATGCATGTTTTTCCCCAAATATCTTAACATTTCTATAACTTCAATTTTGGTCTCTTACACGTGTGCCACTTATCTACATACTAATCTCAATCTTGCTTCTACTTTCTTGAAAAAGAAATATAATTAGAAATAGAATATAGTTATAATAGCTGCTACAAGTCCTCATCTATTATTTCTGTCATCTGTGAGTTATTTTTGATTATTGCTTTACTTATCTTCTGGATTGGATTTTCCTGCTTCTCAGCATACTTAATAAAATTTTAATGGAAGCCACATTTTACCTTGCTTCATGCTGGATAAATGTTATTCCACTTAAATATTTTTGAGCTTTGTCCTGGGATATATAAGCATAGTAAAGCAAAAATGTATACATACATATTTAAGATGAAACAATACATTGTACAAAAATTGTGGGATGATATAATGAAAATATTAAACATTTTTTAAAAGATGAAGGAATTGGGGAAATTAAAAAGTCATCATTCACAAATGGTATAATTGTGTTTGAATATAAAATGATAACAAATTAGTATAATTAGTCATTTAATTTAACAACAGGTATGAATCATGAGTAAAGGTAATATTTAATAAAAACTATTAGATTTTCTTATACCAATAATCAAAAGCTAAATAATAATAACATTTAAAAGCTACCATTTACAACATCATATTTAAAAATAATATACTGAGGAATTAATACAAGTAAAATCTAGAAGGCTTCTACACAAAATTATAAAATCTCAGAACATTTAACAAAGACATATTCTGTAAAAGAATTAAATTTATTCTGAGATAGTGTTGAAGCAATAATTTTTTTAAGATTTATTTATTTATGCTTATAGAACTGAGTTACAGGCCAGAGGTGAGAAGATTCACCAGTGACAGAGTGGAGAGCAGGACAGGCAAATCGACAAAGTACACTGCTGAGGGTAATAGTGGGTGGGTCAGAAGAGGTCTGCCACTCCATGTGGGTCAGCTCCCTGACCGGGAATGGAATTTGTGCTGTAGTGGCTTTAGAGAGCTTAATAATGTGGTGCTTTAACCCGATGAACCACCAGGGAAAGCCCAATGTTGGAGCAATTTTAAAATGAAAATTATTTAAAGATGTATACATAAGATTCTCAAAGGGGTAAAGACTAAAATCTATTTTTAGAAGAAATTACAAACAAGCTATGAAATCAATTAAATTTTACTCTTATACCATGAAAATTTCAATAACAATAGTATGGAATACTATAATGGGGCCTATTTATCACATTTAATTTGCAAAACAACATTAAAAGTTTGGCTTTGATAAAGAGTATTATTTTGTATTCACAAATTACCTGATATTCAGCAGGTCCAGGAGTAGTGAATGTTTCTTTCTGAAACATGGGAAAAGTCCTGGGAACAGAAGAGCCAAATGCACCTTTCTCTTGTTTCTTCAGGAAGTTATCACTTAAGTTGTCAAATATAGTATTATTTATAACATTATAAAATCCAGGACCTAAAATTATAAAGAATGTCTTCTTGAAGGATAAATACATCTTTAATTCTTTTAAACTGAGTAGCTCTAAAACAAAATAATTCACAAAACCTTGAATAATGTTTGATTCCATTCTATGAAATGCCATAAAATGGAAAATATGGCAATGAAAACAGTTGTCTGGGCCAAAGGTGGGGAGGTTAGGAAGGATTATGGTGATTAAATGTAACTTTTCAAGATTTATTGAAATGCTCTAACATTTGATTATCTGATCACACACTTTACCAAAATCTGTCAAACTATGCACTTAAATTGAATTAATTTTACTGTACAGAATATACCTTAAAAAGCAGGGATGGGGCCCTCCCTCGTAGTGCAGTGGGTTAAAGCACAGAACTAAGAAGCTAAAGCCACTGCAGCATGAGTTCAATCACTGCTGCCCGGAGGTGACCCACATGGCACGGCAGACCTCTCCTGACCAACCAGCTGCTCCCCTCAGCAGTGTACTTCATCTATCTGCCTGTTCTACTCACCACCCTGCACCTCTGGCCTTTTTCCCAGTTCTGTATGTATAAATAAATAAATCTTAAAAAAAAAGTACTAGTTAAGTAAAATTTCTTAATATATTGACAGTTGATGTAGTAATATTAAATTTTTAATTTAAAAAATACATCTAATCTTCTGATCATGGAAATTAATTTTCCTTTTACTTTTGAGAGTTCTTGTATAATCAGGAATATTTTTGACAGCAAAACTCAGATCGAATAATATTTCTATTTCTTCATTCTGAATAATATAAAAAAAACTTTCTATGTAATGAAAACCAGTTTTTATCAAGATAAGCAAAGATGTCACTTATATGTAGAACCTGAAAATTAAACACATACACACAAGATTACAGTTAAAAATAGATTGGTTGTTGTCAAAAGTGGGGAGTGAATAGTTGGGAACAGGAGAAATGGGTGAAGTAAGTCAGAATTACCATCTTCTACATATGATGAAGGCCCTTGAAATTCTTTGGATAGAAGGAACATACCTTAGCATGATAAAAGCCTTGTACAACAAACCCACAGCCAATATGATCTCAATGGTGAAAAGTTGAAGGTCTTTCCTTTAAGAGCAGGAACAAGACATATCCACTCTCACCACTGTTCTTCATTATAATACTAGAAGTCCTTTTCAGAACAAGAAGACAAGAGAAAGACATACAAGGAATACAAACTGGGGAAAAGAAGTAAAACAATCGCTATGCACATAATATGATAATATACACAGAGAACCCTAAAAATGTCATCACAGAAAAACTTCTCAAAATAATCAACCAGTTTAGTAAAGTAGCCACTACAAAATCAACACACAAAAATCAATACCCTTCCTATACACAAACATCCAATCTGAAGAAGTCAAGAAAACCATCCCTTTTAATTTGAAACAAACAAACAAAAAAATCAAATACTCGGTAATAAACCTAGCAAAAGGGATAAGGGCCTATACAAAGAAAATTATAAAACACTGTTAAAAGAAATGGGAAAATATCCTCTGCTCATGAATTGGAAGAATTAACATTATTAAAATGGGCATCCTACCAACTCTATTTACAGTTTCAATGCTATTCCAATAAAAATGTCAATGCCATTCTTCAAAGAAATAAAACAAAAACTTATAAAATTCATTTGGAACCACAAAAACCAAAAACCGCTAAAGCCGTACCAACCAAAAAAAAGAGAGAGTGGAGGTATCACACTTCTAGACATCAGTATACTACAAAGATATAATAATCAAAATGTAGTTTTGGAACAAAACAAACACAAAAACCAATGGAACTAAATAATATTTCCAGAAATAAAGTCACACATATATGAACTAATAATCTTTGACAAAGAAGCAAAGAAACGCAATAGAACAAGAACAATTTCTACTAGAAATGATGCTATGAAAATTGGAACACCATAAGCGAAAGAATTAATCTAGACTACTACCTCATGCCATGCACAAAAATCACCTCATAATGTATAAAAGAATCTGGACATAAGATCTGAAACTATAAAATATATAGAATAAAAATAGCTTAAACATCATAAGATGGACATCTCAGTAACATCTTTAAAGATTCATTACACAAAGCAAAGAAAATGAAGGATAAGAAAAATACCTAGCACTACATCAAACTGAAAAGAGCAAAAGAGACATTAACCAAAGCTTTTGATGTAGTGGAATACATAATTTATTTTCAGATATCAAACTACCCTTGTGCCCCTAAATAAATCCCACTTGGTTGTGGTGAGTTATCTTTTTGATGTATTTGTGGATTCTTTTGGCTAGAATTATACTGAAGACTGTTGTGTCAGTGTTCATTAGAGGGAGATGCCCATAGTTTTCTTTGTATGTGCTGTCCTTGTTCAGTTTTTATATTGGTGTAATGTTGACTTCTTAAAACATAGTTGGTAGTATTCCTTCCTTCTAATTTCTTTAAAGATTGTAAGAAAGGCACTAATTCATGTCTGAATGTTTGGTAGAATTCATTTGTGAAGTCCTCTGGTTCTGGTTTTCGTTTTTGGTTAAAGTTTTGATTAAAGTTTCAATCTCCTTGATTGTTGTTCTGTTTCAGTGTTCTATTTCTTTTTTATTTAGCTTTGGATGGTTGTATCATTTGAGGAAGTTGGCCATCTCATCTAGACTGTTGAACTTGTTTACATATACCTTTATAGTAATCTATGATTATTCTTTTGATTTCTGCTCTGACTGTTGTAATTTCTCCACTTTCATTTATGATATTCATTTTTCTTTGTAAGCTTGGCTAGAGGTTTTCTATTTTGTTTATGTTTTTCAAAGAACCAAAATTGATGTCATTGATGTTTTAGATTTGTTGTTAACTTTCTTTCACTTATTTCTCCTTTAAATTTATTATTTCTGCTCCTCTACTGGCCTTTGAATATTTTTAATTGTTCTTTTTCCAGTGCTTTAAGATGGAGGATTAGGTTATTTTTTTGATTTTTTCTTGTTTCTGAAGTGAGCCTGTATTGCTCCTTATTTGCCTCTTATGCCTCTTGTATTCTGATTATTTGTGTCCTTATCATCAATGGTCTCAAAGTAGTTTTTACTTTCTTCTTTTTTTTTGTCCTCATTGATTCATTGTACTTTCAGTAGTGTGGGGTTCAATCTCTAAGAGATAGGAGGATTTCTTGACTTCTTTTCTTTTCATATGATTGATGCCTTTATGTTCAGAGAAGACAGTTGATATGATTTGATCTTAACATGCCTGTTGATATTTGACTTGTGTCCCAATATGTGATCAAACCTGGAGGATGATCTATGTGTATTAAGAACAATGTTTTATTGTTTATTGTGGTGCACTAACCAATAGGTATATGCTAAGTCCATAAAACCTTTATTTTGGGCTCTAATGTCTTTTGGGGGTTTGTTTTGTCTCACTGATACGTCCATTGGTGAGAGAAGGGTTTTATAAGCCACCTACTATGTATGTATTTTCTCTAATGTGTGTTTTCAGAACTGATAATAATTGTCTGATATATTTCAGTGCTCCTTATTTCCTTAATAATAATGTAGTGATCATCTATGTCTCTTTTTATCTTTTAAAGTTTGAGGTCCATTTTATCTGATATGAGTATAGCTGTTCCTTCCTTCTTTTTTGGTCCATTTGCTTGTAGGGCTGTTTTCTATCTTTTTATTTTCAATCTATGTTTATTTCAATTTATGTTTTATTGTAGTAAAATGTGTTTTCTGGAGAGATATGAAGGTTGGGTTCTGTTTTATAATTCAGCTGTAACTCTGTCTTTTTATTGGTGAGTGTAGTCCATTTATATTTGGCTTAATATTGATACAATCACATCACATAAGTCATTTTTTTTAAAGATTTATTTATTTAGCGGACTTCCAGAAGATGGCGGCAGGGTAAAGACACCGAGATCACTTCGTCCAGGCCTGCATAGGAATTGAGGACTGAAAACGGACTATAGACTCACTTACGACAAGTTTCAACCCAAGCGAAAACACCCTGGAATCACTAAAAGGTAGATAACTGAGGGGAAAACCCAGGCCCCTGGAAGTTCCACGGACTGCAGGAGCCACTTTGCCCCATGCTAAACCCTGGAGGTAAAGCTGGACGGCTCAGCTCAGTGAGTGGAGCCCAGGCTGTGGAAAGACTGCAAATCTGATCCTCAATACCTGGGTGAAGGAAAAACCGCTGAAACTGCAGACTCGATCCGGAGCACCTGGGCGCCACACAAAGCCACTGATCAGCTCGACCAGCTCCAGAACCGGCAAAATAGCGGCAGAATAAAGACGCCAAGGCGACTACATCCAAACTCGCATGGGATTATACAAAAACGGACTACAGACTTTCATGCTACAAGTTTCAACACAAATGAAAACTCCCTGGACTCACTAGAAGGAAAATAACCGAGGGAGAACCGGCGATTGGGGAGTCCCCATAAGGGAAGCCGCACAGGCAGGAACTGATCCAAATGCCAGCGGCTTCCAACTCGCTCGGCTCCTTTAAACATCTAGTCGGCAGATGGCACTGCACAGGGAATCTGCCTGAGGCGGCAGCTGCAGCCTCTTGGCAGCCTTTTGTCCCAGCCCAGCTACAACCCTGGAGATAAACAGACAATTCAGCTAGGAAGGGGAAACCAAATCATGGGAAAAGGTTGCAGCTCAGAACGAGAGACTTGAGGATATGCCACAGACCTGTTGCTGACCTTTGCCCCAGCAGCCCCAACAAAGCCCTGGATATAAACTGAGACAACACAGCTAGGTGAGTGGATCCCAAGCTGCTGCGGGGGTCAGGACCCAACCAAAGGCCCAACCCTAGGATAATGCAGCAATTTTAACAAAATTGCATGGGCATATTTAGCATAGAGAGGTCCTAGGAAGTGCCTCAAAAGGGGAGACTTGCTCAGGGGTCTACCTGCTTACCATATCTAACCCAAAAAAACTGTAGTAAAACCCTGGAGTTAAAGAGATACAGCTGGGCTCTGTGAAAGGACCTCAGGCAGGGGGGA